GGGAGTGTCTTAGTGAAGTATGGAGGATTGTTGAATGAGCAACAGCTACTGCTGCTACCACAGCCTTCACCATCCCAGAGAGGATCATCTCCATAGAAGGTTTGAGAATAAGTATACCCAGAGTTGACTCCTGATTCACAGAAGTAGTCTCCACCCACAAATGGTGGGATGGTAATATTGATGCTAGCATCACAAGGACAGGCATCATTCCGAGAGGGTGTGGCCTCAGACAAACCAGCAGCAAATGTCCAGATGTGTTGTCGTGGACTGCCATGTGTGAGACTGACACCAGAAACATAGGCTCCTTCTATCGTGGTTATCGCTCCACGATGGTAGGCCTCAAATGCATCAGTTTGATCAAACTGGTAGGCTCTGATAGAGCCACACACACTAGTGTAGTCTCCTCCACTGACAGAGAACAAGACTGAGTCACATGAGAGGTCACTGGTGTTAACATTACCACATGTTCTCTTGGAGTGACTAGTGAGATTCCAGCCAGAGGGACAGTTGGTGTTGGTGTCTGTCATGTTCAGGTAGACCACACGTCTCCAACCTCCTGTACCTCCACATTCATATGTGTGTGCAAGTTCAAGTATATAGTCAGCAGTCTTCTTCAGTTCCTTTGTAACATTGGTCAGTACATTTCGCTCCAGTTCAGAGTGCACCGTCGTCACTGTCATACTGAGACCATCTAGTTTGGAGTCCAGAGAGTCTAACTTGGAGTTGCTGTTTTGTTCCATGTTGCTCACAGTCTCAGTTAGAGAATTGACTTGTTGCTGGATGTTGGTTAGGTTTTCTCTAAGAGCAGCCAGGCCTTCCCTCATTTCAGCAGCCAAATCTTGTTTCATTTCAGTCATTTCAGAGAGGACTCAGTGTCTCGTACACTGCAGCAACTACCCTCAAAACTGTGTGATGTATAGAAATTTTGCTATCAACCCTTGCATTTTACTTTAATCAAACTTCTCACCATCACATTGGGAAACACCAGTCTGCATGAGAGAGAAGGCAACTACTGTCACCACAACCAACTGGAGACTCTTCATTTTCTCTTACAATTGCCGCACGAACCCTGAACTGAAAGGTGGTCTGATCTTCTATATATGGACATGACCTGTAGTGATACTACCTGTCAGACTACGTACTCTACGACAATGCTCGATATTATGTTGAAACGGGGTTCTGTAGAATTATAGCAACACAGTTTTACTATGGAAAAATAAACTTGGCTGAGGATTTTGGTGAATAGCGAAGGTTCAGGTATTCCACTGGAACAGCTTTGGTTTTCTGCACAATACAATAAAGCATGAAGCTACCAACAAGATCATGTCTCTCATTATACGCCAGCCAACCAGCTAGCCCAATGCATGCAGATATAGCTACATTGTCAGTTGGCCACTATCTCCAGTCCAGAGTCTCTGACCGGTCTTGCTGTCACTCGTGGCAGGACCACATGCACAGCAATACACAGTTCATGAAACACCTCAACACCACTCTGTCCATCTCTGTAGGAGCCATAGAACAAATCTGACAGTCTATCTTCACACCACATCCCCACGCTCTACCATAGTCCATATCTTCCTTTTTCATTACCAGTGCTTCCCTTTGCTTTAGTAGTGCTCGTCTTCACTTGTGTTGAGATGAACAAAGTTATACACTATCTTGTGCTGTGTTGATTTGTACTGGAAAACTAGTAGACATCGATTCTCGTAGGTGAGGGCAACGCTGTCATTATCAATCACATCGGATATATTGGCCAGTGGGTGTGGCCAGGGGGAGGAGTCAGAGGGGGCAAAAATCACAAGTGGGTCACGGGGGCGATGAACAAATAGAGGGTTCTGTTCGACCATTAGGTAGGTGACACCTGCGACCACTAGAATACTGAGAATGCAGATGGTAAGACCAAAGAGGAAGATGAAGATCTTGTAAAAGGTTTGTAACAACTGCTTCAGACTGCACCTGTGTGTACGGTCGCTCCTCTGACACTGAGTGTTCGTGTGCCTTTGTTTGTGCGTCCCTTCCACATTTGAGCTACTTCCTATAACCTTTCGAGTTTGCATTTCAAGAGTTGAATCTCTTTTATGTTTGTCAGCATAAGAGGAGTTATTGTTGATATTTCCACAGTTGGTTGATATCCGGGTAGCTCTCTCTCCATCCATCTTCCCTCCCTGATCCCTGAATCTCAGTAGAGTGAGCATTAGTCTCCAGAAGGTGGCCAGAGCAGTTCCGATGCTACTAATGAGGATTGGAACTAGGGCGTCACTCGATGCTATGATGGATTTAGTACTACACGTATACTGAGACAGTCCGTAGAGAGAGGCCAACACCAGCATAGGGACGTCTTCTAATAAGAGCCCGGCGACCGGCATGAGCTCAACGTGGGTTCGACAGAAGCTCCCCTTCAGATGAAAGAGTTTCATGATCTCGTGGGAGGTTGACATCATGGCTAAGGTTAGTCCAGCCAGTGCAAACAGCCCCCACACCATGCTCCACAGTAGAGGGGTCGGCAAGAGAGGGTGCGCGAAGCCAACATTGAGAAATGAACCCCAGGCAATGAGGTCCGAGATCGAGTCGAACCCTGCGATGTAGATGTATATTATGAGGAGGACGACCCTGCATTTTGTTCTCGACGGGGCGTAAGAGTCCAGAATGAACTCGCTGCTCTGTATGACTGCATCAGATAGCAGTTCCTCCATTCTTAGTTCATTCCCTCCCTATTCCTCTCTCTTTCTACCTTCTCCCCCTCAGATGAGTGGTCTACAATTAGAAGCAGGTCTTTCTATCAACAGATGGATCATTAGTTTACTCCAGCATTTTCACAACTGCCCAACTCTCAACACTTATGCAAGCTCTGAACTCTAATCACAAACGGCCCTGAGGCTATGTGACTGCACGACACGCTAGTAAACTTCAGCCATGCTCAGCTACCATCGCACATGTCAATAATGGCCAAACACACCTCTATACACACTGTGATAGCAACAGGCCCACGTGTCTAGCTATATGTAGTGTAGCTATACAGCAAGTAGTCTTACTGGCAGTGCTTTCAGTGGCAGCTGTACTAGAACAAATAGGGCATAATGCAGATGTACACAGCTTCACACGCCGTATCTATAGCTACCACTGGTTGTCTCAACAGCATATCCACAAAACCCTGCTGTAGTGTGGAAGAAAGTCTCGAGCTCTGTGTTAGTGACGTGCCTGGAAAGAGGTGTCCTCATTAGGAGTAGGAGGGGTTATATTTCTCCCTTATTCTCACACCAAGCATCTGGACCAAATACCTTAGCGTGGTGGAATTGATTAGCAACACTCAGATGTGAATATAATAGCTTGTGAAACAAAAAAATCATGAAATAAAGAAGGGACAAAATGCAGTAAAATACACATAATATTTCACATTGTGCTATTGATTGCCTAACATTACATCATAATTTATTCTAGATCATTCTCCAGTCTCAGAGGTCGGAGGTCGACTGTAGATCATACCCCTTCTGATCTGGCCCCACCCTATGAGTCTGTGGGAGTAGAGAGAAAAGGGGGGAGGGAGGAGAAGGAGAATCATGAATAAGCAAAAGGGAAGAAAATGGAGAGAGAGAGAGCGGCTCACCTCCAGTGGTTCTCGACTCTCCTGCTGAGGGCGATCTTCTCTCCGACCTCAGTGCAGACCGGCTGAGTGAGGGTGATCTTGGCGAGATCTGCCTTCACTGCACTCACCCGTCCACCGGTGGAGAGAGAGCCAATGTTCACCATCAGTACCTCATTCTTTGTCAGTTTCTGGACCTGTGGTCAGAGGCGTTCCAAAAATAGTAGCACACCCTCAACCCTGTCCTGAACTTACCAGGACACCCTCAACCCTGTCCTGAACTTACCAGGACACTCTCAACCCTGTCCTGAACTTACCAGGACACCCTCAACCCTGTCCTGTACTTACCAGGACACTCTCAACCCTGTCCTGAACTTACCAGGACACCCTCAACCCTGTCCTGAACTTACCAGAACACCCTTATTACCTTGGCTCCCTTCTTGTCTCCCTCTGTCCTGACTCCCAGTAACCTCCGCAGGAGAAAGTAGCTGATCTCCAGCTCAGTATAGATGTCAGGCAGAGCCCCTACTGCACCCAGGACCTGTCCCACCAGCCTGTCGGCTCTGCACAGTGTCGGGTCTATCTTTGTTCCTACACCTATGGAGTGGAGTAGATATCCTTTCTCAATAAGCTATAGCTCCAAAACATTTTTGGTTTGTGACCATACGATTGCTTAGAAGCAACTCTTTGTGAAGAAAAGTTTGACTGAAGTTTGGGTAGATTTTGTGGAACACTAGATATTTTAGGGGAGGAATAGTTTAATTAACCCCTCCCGCACCCACCTATTAACCCTCCAGGCACTGCGTACTGCAGTTCGTTTGTTTCGGCGAAGAGAGAGACGATGCTGGAGAGGATGGGTTTGCACTGAATCCGTCCGTCTTGGGTTCTGGAGACGATCCCAGGTCGCACCTCTATCTCTTGCCCCACCTTGTGACACATTGTACAAAACACAGCTTTGGTCTTATGGTAACATCCCATACAATAAAGAGCAGGTTGATAGGGCTCTGCCAACTGGCTGGCGAAGTAGTAAGAAGATAACTTACTCGCAGTACACCTCTCAGTATACTGCCTCCTGCCACGCCCCCCTTTAGGTCGTCCACCTCGGCCCCTGGCTTATTGACATCAAACGACCTAATGACTGGAGATATTTGCACATGTATACATGTATAATCTGACATCGTAATGCTCACACCACAACATTACAAAACACACTCCCTAGTACATCAGTTACTAAAGCTCGTAGTAACTTCAAGACCGACTTAGTAAGCTCCAGAACCGCTTCTCCCTAAACAGAATTACTGTCCCTTGCCCTCACTTGGTACCCTCACTTCCTTTCCTGCTTTCCTATCTATACACTTTCTTCTTCCTAACTCCCTCCCCTCCCCTCCCCTCACCAATGAGACGAGGTTCAGAGGTGAAATCTCGAAGAGGGATGGGGATGTTCTTGGTGACGTACTCGCAAACCACCTCAATGTTGTACTTGAGCTGGGCCGATATCGGGATGACCGGTGCCCCTTCTGCCACCGTGCCTGCGGAGAGGGGAAGAGAGAGAGAGACCCCATATCTCGCTCCTTTTTCAGTCTTCCTCCCCCCTCTCGTTTCAACCATATTATAACACGTATAAAAATACGTATTTCCCCCCATCTCGCAATACAAAGAAGTGTAAAAAAATTGTCTAGTGGACCAGGCCTTACCTTGTACAAACTTGAGGATCTCTTGATATTGGTCCTTGGCCTGCAATAACATCAATGTGTAACTGACAACCCAATCAATGTATGGAGACAAACCTGCCTCATCCCTACATACACACAGTACTACCATACTTCGTACACTTGAGTGAATGCAACACTTTTTTTGGCCGGGGCGAACGTGAAGTTCAATATTTCATGTGCATACATAAATTAAAAATCATTATGTTACAGTATGTGCAGTGTCCATCACAACATGTTACGCGTGATTCATTATGCTCACTTCGCTTCTTCTTCAACTACCGCCACTGGTGACAGTTGGACAGAGGAAGATGGGAGGTGCTTGCTGACTCACGTACCTGGGTGTCTCGTATGAGGTCGATCTTGTTCTGTAGAATGAGGATGTGTTTCAGTTTCATTATCTCAATGGCCGCCAGATGCTCCGAGGTCTGCGGCTGCGGACACGACTCATTGCCAGCTGGAGGGAAAGGGGTTAAGTTAGAGATCATGTGATTCGTTGCAGGCTAGAGGGAAAGGGGTTAAATTAGGACTCATCACCAGCCAAAGGGAAAGGGGTTAAATTAGGACTCATTGCCAGCTGGAGGGAAGGGGGTTAAAATAATGTGACTCTGTCAGCTGGAGGGAAAGGGGTTAAATCAGAGATCATGTGACTCCTTGCCAGCTGGAGGGAAAGGCGTTAAAATAATGTGACTCTGTCAGCTGGAGGGAAAGGGGTTAAATCAGAGTTCATGTGACTCCTTGCCAGCTGGAGGGAAAGGCGTTAAAATAAGATGACTCATTGTCAGCTGGAGGGAAAGGGGTTAAAATAATGACTCATTGTCAGCTGGAGGGAAGGGGGTTAAAATAATATGACTCATTGTCAGCTGGAGGGAAAGGGGTTAAATAATAGGAGTTGAATGCTCCTTGAAAATGGGGGAGAGAGAAGCGAACCAATGAGGAGAAGGGCAGCGTCCATGACAGCAGCTCCGTTGAGCATGGTTGCCATGAGGATGTCGTGACCTGGACAGTCCACAAATGATACGTGTCTGGGGAAGTGTGTGTGAGGGAGGGAGGGGGAGAGGAGAGGAAGGAATGAAAACTGCATGAAGAATTGGAAATCAAGTTAGTTGACTAGCAATAGAGTATAAGATGTGCCAAACCAGAGACTTGGTGAAAGAATTATACGAGAACACAAAATTGAGAAATTGGTGATCTCATTAAAAAAAAACTGAGTGTGAGCCTGGCAAAGAGCCAGAGGATGACAAAGAGCTTCGTTAGGAAGTGAGACATAATTATAGTGGAACCTCAGAACAAGGGACACTGATTTTGTCCCTTGTAGAGAGGTCGTCCCATATCTCGGAGGTCAAATAATACACAAAAGTATTAGCATGGGGTTGAAACAAGTGTCCTTTGTAGAGATGTGGTCCCTATCTCGGGAGGGAGGTTACACCGTAAAACCAATAGTACCACGTACAGTGTACGTATTATACCTGACAAGTCTGAAGCTACCACTGCAGCCAGGCCTATCACAAGGAAAGACGTCTTCCTTATTACTGCCACAGGAACGATAGCACCCCGGTCTCGGGCACCGCTCGTTGTCGCACTTGTACACCTAGTCACATGAGGATCACATGATGATGTCATGTGACCCACCGGGCTCTCTCATCACCTTGGCATTGGCGTATCCTAGCTTTATGGTGATGTTTCTGACGAGCTCGTCTTGAATCGAACAGTCTGTACATGGAGAGAGGAGGAAGAAAAAGGGGGATATTTCACAGCAAAATTACTGAGAATCTAGATTCTTCTATACATACCTGAACCCCTGATATTGCCTTCACGACGTCGACTTCCCGTGAGCTACATGTCCAATTGTCCCTGTGTTGCAGTGGATAAAATGCACACAGCGAAGAAATTTTTCTCGTGTTTGTTTACCTATATTGATTGTTGCCTGGCGACTGATGACCTCGGGCGAGAGTGGGTGGAGTTTTGTTGGGTCCTGGAAATCACACACACACCAAGAAAACAGCATGTCTAGTTTAGGGCATAAAATAGAAAAGTTCTCAAAGCTTACTCAAAATAAACATATCTGCAGTTGTAAATTTTACGTAGCGTTGCTTTCGCCTTCCTACCCGTCCTGAGGCAGCTACACACCCCAGATCCCCAGCCGAAGGCTCAGGGAAAAAGATGATGAAACTCTCCTCCAGCGGCCAGCCGAAAACACGCCCCCTCGTCCTCCGCGGCAGCGAACGACGCTCTCTCCCTCCGGCCGCGCACTCACCAACGTACTCAGGTCTTGCTTGGCCAGGTGAGGCTGTCCCGCGCCCGCCTCTCCTCCACTACTTGTTGCCATGTCTCTCTTACGGCTTCGACTATAGCTTTTCGATGCGCGACGGGACCACGTGGTCACGTGATGCAAGATGTAAATCACGTGTAGAATAACGCATGCGCGAAGAACTGCTCCCACATGCGGCATGAACCTCGCGCATCCCTACGCGTGTAGGTGTGGCCATAGATACTACACCCTACGTACCATGACGGATGAAGAGACGAAGCTACAGTGCTACAACAAGGGCTGCCTAAAGCAGTACTCATCAGAAGAAGATGTAGACGGTAAATGAACCATTATAGAGTGTATCTAGTATTCTCTTTGACTCTACAGGAGCCTGTGTCCATCACCCTGGTGTCCCTGTGTTCCACGACGCCATGAAAGTGAGTGTGTAAAACACCAAATTAGTTGTTCTCACTCGACGCAGTTCGGGATCGCTCTGTCCTCGCTTCTTTTATATTCAGGGATGGTCGTGTTGTAAGAAGAGAAGTACAGATTTCACTGATTTTCTCAACATCCCCGTAAGATGAAGATTACATCCATGATACCTTCTTCCTCAAACTCTGCCACAGGGTTGTACAGTGGGAAGACATAACCCCGTGAAGCCAGTCGAACCTGAGAGAATCAAACAGAAGCCATTGGCTAAAGGGGAGGTGAGCTGTCAGTACAGAAGTTGGCACTTTCCCCCTCTCCCCCTTTCTCTCTAGGAGATCATAGTGAAGGCTCTGCTCCCTAAACAAAATCAACAGATGGAGCGACCATCGTGAGAACAAAGTTTATAAATTACCCTTAAACCGTACCAACACTGATTATAGATCACTGTGTGTTTATTACTAGACCCAGCTGTGGTGTATAATAAGCAACACTATAATGGAGTAAAGTTTATAGTACGGGTAATATTTTCCTCCATTCGATTTTTCACTAAACAAAAGTAACTGGTAAAATTCCATATTGAGATGATCTTCCAATGAGGCAATATTTTCCTCCATTGGTTTTCCCCCCAAAATTGGACTAAACATCAAAATTGTGTCTAGTCATGACTGTTAAATTACCTATGTTCTAAAGGACGACCTCCCAATGCGCCAGCTGAAGGTGAAAGTGGCCAACTCGCTGAAATCTCTGCTGGCAAGACTCGGCAAGCACCAGGAGACAGCCGAGACAGCCCAACCAGCCGAGCAGGACCAGAGACCACCAGGTAGCTAACACACCATTATAGATCTTATATACTCTATAGTGGCAAACTTTCAAAGTAGAAAAGTTTGTGACTTGGTAGATACCGAATGATAATATTTTGTGGAGAAAAATTTGCTCACAATGTATCAAAATTTTAACGGACAGAAATTTTACAGATGGCTTTCTTTCGCTAAAGTATTCTTCCGAAGGTTCATACGTAGTATGCAGTATGCTGCTGAGGCTGTGTATGTTTCAATATAATATTATTGTGTTCTGATGTTGTGACAGAAGAGGGAGAGATAGAAGTTGGGACGACTTGTAAGAACAAGGGTTGCGATGAAGTGAGTCCCCACGTATATCCTCCTCCGCTTCTGAAAAACAAATTAATTAATTGATTATTAACTCACCTAGCATTATAGATGTAAGCCACGCCTTCAAGTTGAGAAAGATAAGAGTATAAATAGTTGGTTATTCGATTTTGTTTTTTATTTCTCAGACGTACTATGGTTCAGATGTGGAGTTGACTAGCTGTAGATATCATCCCGGAGTACCGATATTTCATGAGGGGTAAAGAGGAATAACATGTCCTGGGTGTAGTTGATTTGTTTGTTGTGCCTCTTTGCCTTTCTACCTCATAGTTTTCACATGCACTTTATCTCTCTCTTTGGTGCTATAAATGTGGTCTTGCTATATATACTTCTATGTATGTATGATGTATGTATGTAGGTACAAGTATTGGACGTGCTGTCAACGAAGGACATCGGATTTCGATGAGTTTCTAAAGCAAGAAGGCTGCACAACTGGAGAACACAAATGGATCGAGGTAGGCACACACACACACACACCACACACACACCTCTTCCATTGTCTGGGTCTCATTTCTCTATCTATTTTCTATCTCTTTCTACAGACGGAGAAGAAGGAAGTGAGTTGTAGGTATGTGATACGATACAAAACTTGAAAGGCATTAAATCTCTCCATGTGTGCTGTACATATACAGGTATGATTGGCATCAGACCGGGACACAAGTCGTGATCGCATTCTACGCCAAGGCCTGCGTTCCTGAACAGTGTCTATTTGAGGACCAACCAAACCTCGGTCAGTCACCTCACCTCCCCCTCTTCTCTCTCTTATCTCCTTTGTCCTTCTCCCCCTCTCTTTTCTCATTCCCTGAAACAAGTGGTTTCAGGTATAACCACAATGTAGTAGACATCTTTGGGCATGCCCCCCTTCCTCAAGATTAGAATGGCTTATTTGATTACAGACCGGCAGCCACTGGCTTCACGTCTTCGTCCCTCCTTTTCCTCATTCTGCCAGAATTTGCCACTCACTCACTCACTGTCTTTCCTATTTCAGTGTCGTCTTCTCCTGTCTTTCAACAACGGCAAAGAGCAACAGCTCACATCACTACAGTTCTACGGGGTATATTATGCTGTAGTGTATGACTGCCTCCTTATGTTGACAGCCTCTCGACTACCTACACCTCAGGTAATAGATGTCGATCGCAGCTCAGTGGAACTACTCGCAACAAAGGCAGAAGTGAAACTCAAGAAAGCAGACCCAATAGCCTGGGCCACATTGGAGCTGAAAACACCCAAACCGACTGCTAGTGATGACGACGACAATAAAACCCAGGAGCAGGAGTGACTGACTGACTAGGGAACTGCTGCTTTTTGTCCAATAGCTGTACATGAACTGTGTCAGAACCTATTGCTGCTGTCACTGTTTTGTTGGCTGCTTTCAACTCCTATAATTATAGTGCTGTGCATTATAATACCATTTAATGTACATGATGCATTGAATGCTGTTTATAACAACGCATCAGAACTCTTACGTAAACTAACTAAGTTTCGTTTGTATAATTACTGCGTGCACGCTGATATTTGTCAGGTTTGAGGACTTGGTCAATGTCAGGAAAGTCTTGTTAGTTCATAACAATCACACCACAATGTACAGACAATGCTGTTCCTTTTTTGTCTATCTCTGCTGATATAGGATATTCTGAGGATGTCTGGTCATTGTGCATTCACTCATAGTGTCTCACAATAGTTTTGCAGTTGTTGCTGCTTGTAGAACAATTGTGTTGCTTTGTTCAGTAATTCATGAGGCACCAAGATTTCCCAGACAAGCAGTGGCAGGTGTGTTTGTGCATGTGCAAGTCAGTGACCTATTGTGTGCATTACTCCATACCTCACAATTGTTTTGTAGTGTCCCAGCTGGTGGAATCATCTTGCTTAGCTCATCATTAATACCAATCACACCACAATTATACTGTTAGAGTGTAGAGATGAGTATAAATCAGTAAACCAGTGTCAATAAGGATGTTTTAAACCCCCTGTGCCACTTAAATGCTCAAACATGCACTGCTAATGTGTGAGGTCCTAACAATTAGGTAATGATGGTTAACTTGCAGATTCATAAAGGGAATTATAATTCCCAGTAGTTTACAAATGGGGACATCTGCTACTTACAACAATGCTGTTCCTATCACTGCTGATATAAGGATAGTCTGAGGATGTCTTAATGCATTGAGTGCTGTTTATAACAACACATCAGAACTCATTACGTAAACTATATATAAGTTTCGTTTGTATAATTACTGCGTGCACGCTGATATTTGTCAGGTGTGAGGACTTGGTCAATGTCAGGAAAGTCTTGTTAGTTCATAACAATCACACCACAATTAGAATGTACAGACAATGGTGTTCCTTTTTTGCCTGATATAGGATATTCTGAGGATGTCTGGTCACTGTGCATTGTGCATTCACTCATGGTGTCTTACAATAGTTTTGCAGTTGTTGCTGCTTGTAGAACAATTTGTTCAGTAATTCATGAGGCACCACAGATTTCCCAGACAAGCAGTGGCAGGTGTGTTTGTGCATGTGCAAGTCAGTGACCTATTGTGTGCATTACTACATACCTCACAATTGTTTTGTAGTGTCCCAGCTGGTGGAATCATCTTGCTTAGTTCATCATTAATACCAAATAACACCACAATTATACTGTTAGAGTGTAGAGATGAGTATAATCAGTAACCAGTGTCAAATGAAGTGCAAACCCTCGGCGCACTGTGACGCGCACGCGTAAGTCAACGCATGCGCCGTACCACTAATTGATGGGCTGGGTTTAGTTTTAGCTGTTACTCGTGGTCTCTTACCAGCTCGCGCAGAGTCTGACGCGGGCTAACTACACTACTAGATAGCATGCGATACACGCCCTGCGTTGCATCTTCTGGTGACTCCGAGGTACGCAGAGCACGCGGGTCGATCATGCCGTAGTAAGCCGTAGTAAGCCGTTGAGTATTTGCATATTGGCTTTTTCGCGCTCTAGCTTTGCAACGGAGCGTTTTCAGAGGAAACCCCACATATTTTCTGACCTTCGTTGCCCGTTTAGTAGGTGGTATCCTTTGTGAGACGAACGAACACTCGAGAAGTGAGATGAAGAGTAACGTTGTACAGACAGACAAACCGTAACCCTCTCTGCGCATGCGCGCCGAGGGTTAAAACCCCCCTGTACCACTTAAATGCTCAAACATGCACTGCTAATGTGTGAGGTCCTAACAATTAGGTACTGATGGTTAACTTGCAGATTCATAAAGGGAATTATAATTCCCAGTAGTTTACAAATGGGGACATCTGCTACTTACAACCAATGCTGTTCCTATCACTGCTGATATAAGGATAGTCTGAGGATGTCTGGTCATTAACCCTCGGCGCGCATGCGCAGCGAGGGTTACAGTACTTGGGTCTGTGTGTCTGTGTATCTGTGTGTCTGTGTGTTACTCTCAATCTCACTTCTCGGGTGTTTGTTCCTCTCACAAAGGATACCACCTACTGAACGGGCAATAAAGGTCTGAAATTTCGAACGGTTTTCTCTGAAAACGCTCCGTTGCAAAGCTAGAGCGCGAAAAAGCCAATATGCAAATACACAACGGCTTACTACGGGCATGATCGACCCGCGTGCTCTGCGTACCTCGGAGTCACCAGAAGATGCAACGCAGGGCGTGTATCGCCTCTCGCATGCTATCAGTAGTGTAGTTAGACCGCGTCAGACTCTGCGTGAGCTGGCAAGAGACCACGAGTAACAGCTAAAGCTAAACCCAGCCCATAAATTAGTGGTACGGCGCATGCGTTTACTTACGATTGTGCGTCACAGTTCGCCGAGGGTTTGCACTTCAGTGCTTTTCATTGTGCATTCACTCATAGTGTCTTACAATAGTTTTGCAGTTGTTGCTGCTTGTAGAACAATTGTGTTGCTTTGTTCAGTAATTCATGAGGCACCACAGATTTCCCAGACAAGCAGCGGCGCGGGTGTGTTTGTGCAAGTCAGTGCCCTATTGTGTGCATTACTCCATACCTCACAATTGTTTTGTAGTGTCCCAGCTGGTGGAATCATCTTGCTTAGTTCATCATTAATACCAAATAACACCACAATTATACTGTTAGAGTGTAGAGATGAGTATAAATCAGTAAACCAGTGTCAATAAGGATGTTTTAAACCCTCTGTGACTTAAATGCTCAAACATCTGCCACTTACAACAATGCTGTTCCTGATATATAATTATAGTCTGAGTCTTCATGCCTGTGTGAAGTAGATGGTAGTGGCAAACTCTGGAGGGAGAAGAGTAAAAAGTTCTATTTTATGCATCCATAATTCTGTGCCCGTGGGAACGTACAGGCTACGAATGTTTATCTGGAAAGGAAATCCAACGGATGTCTGGTCATTGTGCATTCACTCATAGTGTCTTACAATAGTTTTGCAAGACAACCGAGTTGCTTATTTCGCGCGATGACGCAAGGACCGGCGCGCGATGTGTTTGCGCATGCGCAAGTCAGTGGCCTATAAAACGTGTGCGCGCGCTGAGGAGAGTCGCGAAACAGCACGATGCGACCCTTGAGCTTGCTAGCGGCGCTTTTCGCAGTGCTGCTGTGTGCACGTAGCGTGCAGGGCAGGCGTTCCGCCATTCGTCTCCCGCGGGACGTGAGTGGAACGGGTCGCTACATCGCCGTTTTCAAGGACGACACGAGCCACGAAAGGCTTCTAGAAATAGTTGAATTGTTAAAAACATCAGAAGGATGTGTGGTCCATTTACACATGGAAGTAGCGCTGAAAGCAATCGTATTGAATCTGTCGGACGATGCTCTGCAAATGGTATGAGTGCCTGCTAGAAAGCTAACGTTGACTCTTCATTTTTGTTTTCCCCGGCAGGTCCTCAAGTTTCCAGAAACGGCATACGTGGAGGAAGAGGGAATTTCGTACGCTGCAAATTCCGGCGATGGTGAAGGCGAAGACAGGGGCCTGTGGTACCAACACCGCATCGATCAGCTACCGGGAGACGGCCGCGGGGTTGACGTATACATTCTGGACAGTGGCATCAGGTTCCAGCATCGAGAGTTCGGACGAAGAGCTAAGTACGGAGGGTATGATGCGGTAGACCAGTATGAATATCTGCAGGGAACTAAGGGCTATGTCCCCTTACGCGGAAAAGACTGCCACGGGCACGGTACAGCTGTAGCTAGTTTGGTGGGTGGTATAACCTTCGGTAAGGCTACGGAATCAAATCTTTTCAGCGTTCGCGTGCTGCGGTGTGACACTACTGCACCGTGGAGTATAGTGCTGGACGGACTGGATTATATTGCCGAGATAATCCCCAAACGTGGTCAGAATGCAGTTGTCGTACTAGCTCTTTCTGGCAGCAACCTAAACTCCATGAACGAGGCAATAAATAACCTGAACGGGCTGGGTGTTCTTGTGGTGGCGGCTGCAGGTAATGATGGAACCGATGCTTGTCAAACATCTCCAGCCAGCTCGCCTAATGTCATCACGGTAGGGTCCACTGACAGGCAAGACAACATAGCCTCTTTTTCAAACTATGGACCCTGTGTGGATCTGTTTGCCCCTGGGGAGGATATCCTAGCTGCCAACAATGAGTGCGACTCTTGCACTGGTACAATGAGTGGTACCACTCTGTCGGCTGCCCTGACTGCTGGACTGGTGGCTGCATATACCTCACAAATTCATTTCACTCCTGCACTAATGAAGGAGAGGATTGTCTATCAATGTCTCCTAAATGCCATCAACTTTACTTCTCTCCCACCTAATGCTCAAGAACAGACTCCTAACCGCCTATTAAAGAGTATGTTGGGCAATAAATGTGAAAATGTGTATATAATAGTCTCTTCTTTATTAGGGGGATGTGGTGGTGAAATAATAGTGTACCTCGATGAACAAGGAGTCCTCAACTCTCCTGAATTCCCGCAAGACTACCTCAGTAACTTGAGGTGTAAGTGGAAGTTAGTAGCTGAGAGAGACTGTGACTATATTGAGATTGACTTCACCCATATAACACTTGAAGAATACTATGATACTCTTACTGTCTGTCTCAAAGATTCTTGTAGGGAAGATGAGAAAATAGTGCTGACCGGTAAGGTAGAAGCATTACGTTTACTTCTAAAATTCACTGCTGGTTTTAAACAGGTGACTATGGTTTACCAGACTGTTTGCTCCAGTCTGAGGGGCAGAATATGACCATTGAAATGTTTACAGACGGTTCCAAACAGGCCCCAGGATTCAGGGCTACTCATATCGCCATAGATGGAACCAGAAAATCATTGAACAGTAAGTATGAATGTTGAATCTGGCACATGACAGTAGCTATAATTGTTTTACATATTGCAGAATGCACCCCTGTTAGTGACTCTTCAATACTGCTGGAAGCTTTCAGTGCCGCAAATAGTGTTGGAGGACGATTTTGGATGCAGAAAAGTTGGAATGAGTTTTTTGCCGGCAGAAAATATGGTATCAATGTAGCTGTTATAGATGAAGTTAATGGCTCAGTGATAGCAACAGAAAACTTCAACCAGGCTAAGGGTCAATCCAACACGCTGGGTATCTTTATTGAAAAATTACCAGCTGGAAGAATTGTTTGTGTGGCAATCAGTGACGATGGGATCTATCAGTTAAATGACTATGCGAAAAGACAACTTAGGTGGCTAGGATCCAGCAGAATAAACTATTTGACTCGTTCAGACTCCTGGGCACTAATTGGAGTGAAGGGTAGCCATGTGCCTCATCAACAAGCAATCGAAATGTCAGGAACATCTTCAGCGCAGGTCTCCGCTCGAGTACATCTGAAGTCATCCTATCAGCAATTTTTTGAAATAACAGCAGAGTCTGCTGGACTGCGGTCCGACAACTATGCCACCATTACTCTCAATGGTACGGTAGTTGATATACCATACGTCGGGCATGATCGTGGTATGCATGTCATGGTAGTGAACGAGGTCACTGGTAAGATAGTCCATAGACAAGTGTTTGACACTTCAGCCGAGAGCGGAGCTTTCTCTTCCTCGCATCAGTTTGTAGAACTGATCCAGGCCCTTCCAGAGGGTAGGTTGGTGGCTATTGCTATAAAAGAAGAAGCAATGGCGCACATGTCGGATGCTGCTAAACAAGCCTGCGAAAGCATTGGGAGTGCGCTCATACAGCAAGTACAACCTGGAAATTCCTGGGCAATAGTTGGTAGAAAGGGGGCTAGAAATGGGTCCGTGCCAGAAGCAATGAAATACTCTGAAAATTCAAGGGCTAAATATGTTCCTGTTAAGACAGATGAAGAAGGTATCTTGTGCCCTATTCTTCTGCAGTCTTCTGAAAATAATGGAGTTGGAAGTAGTATAATTGTTAATGAAACCAGGATAAGTCATGTTTCTTCAACAACAAGCGGAAATTTAGCTGTTCTTGTGAAGCTCGATGAATGTGCAGTGGAGAAAAATATTTCTTTCATTTCCTCGAATGACTTTTTCAATTTCATTAAGCCCATTCCACCTGGTAGAACGGTTGTTGTAAATTGGGCATATGGTCACGGTCTAAACGAGCATGGTACTGCAGCTCTTGAGGCCATTGGAAGTGCCAGAATACGTGGTTTGGCTTTTGGAAAAGCATGGGGAATCATCGGAAAGAAAGGTGTTAGCACAGGCACGATCGTGGAAGACTCATCCTATACCAACCGAGGGAAGGCTCTTGGAACTGCTGTCAAAATAGGAAAGTTACCGGGCTCTGTGACTGTGCAGTCTGCTGGTTCCAGCACTGGTGACTATGGCAATATAATAGTTAATGGTACTATCTTTACCATGTCTCCACTATATGAGTGTGGTCTCAATGTTGTTGTGTTTGAAGGGGACACCATGAAGATTCGCAGTGTTCACACATTCAATATGACTGCATCTAACACTTCTCAGGACATTGAGGAGTTTGTCAAACTGACTACAAGGCTACCCAACGACACAGTTGTGGCTTTGGCTAGTAATAATGCAGGAGATCTTAACAAAACTGAAGAAGTTCGGGTGGCAATTGAAGACCTGGGCAGCAAGTACATCCATCAAACTACTGAAGGTGGCTGCTGGGCACTGCTAGGTCGAAAGGTGCATCAAGGGGCGAAGTCCCAGAAGCAGTCAGCAATCATGGTCCAGTGGAGATTGTTTCCCATGCTATGCCTACACCTTCAAAGGACTGCAGTATCTTCATAGAAACTACAGGAACAGGAGAAGGTGGAGGCCTGAAAGTTAACATCAATGGGCACTACAATGAGAGTCTAACATCTTCTGAAGGGGTAACTATAGCTATTGTAAAAGAAGAAAGCTGTGAACTTGAATTCATTGCTACCTACCACAATACAAGGTACAACAAATACAGCAGTGCACTGCTTTCCTTGATAAGTAAGCTACCTATGGGAAGAACTGTTTTCGCATCAATATATGCTTCAAGTGGTTACCGTCGGTATAGCTATTCCGAAAGTTTGAAGATTGCTATGGAATTGATTGGAAGCTCTCAAATTCGGGGGGCACTTTATCGTGACACCTGGGCCATAATTGGACGTAAAGGAGCACCAATGGGCTCAGTTCCGAATCTCTAATGACGTATACTGGAGGTGTCAGCCACCCTGTTGTTTCATTGAGTGGCAATATAAAAATCGAGAAAGATAAGCTTACATTTTGTGAAAACAAGCTGTATCCACTGGACTGTCTTAAATAGAGTGTGCAAAACGAGACTGAAAAGTATAATATATTGCCAAAGAGTGTGAGATGTAGTATAATTTTGGAACTCTTTATTTTGTTGTGTACAAAGGTGGCTACATTGTATACTTAGTGGACTGTATATTATTATTCTTCTTGACCGTGTGGTGCTACCCAGCCTTGCACGTGCACTATGCTATGTTCCACCAACTGCTACACTACATAACAATTGTGAGGTATGGAGTAATGCACACAATAGGTCACTGACTTGCACATGCACAACACACCGCGCCCCGCTGCTTGTCTGGGTAATCGGTGGCCTCATCGAATTACTGAACAAAGCAACACGATTGTTCTACAAATCTGCAGAGGTATCACTTGCACCCTCCAGGCTCCCAGCCCTTTCAACAGCTTTGCACAGTTCTTGCAAAAGACACTTGACTTATAAGATTATCGTATTAATGCACCCTTTCTCCTTTCATTGGGATGAAAATAAAGAATTTCTTATAGTACAGTGCATTAAACATAATAATATGCCACACAGAACATAACACAATGAACAATAATGATGAACTTTTGAAAAAGCAACAAGTCAGTGAAAAGTTCTGACGTTGATTCTGTGTATCATCTTTGGCTCGGGAATGTTGTACGAGGTGATCTTGACAGTTCTAACGAGACCACGCCCCAAGACACGCCCCTGTCTGCCGATGACTGACGATCGCATGGCGAGATACTCGGGCATCGTCGTAGCCCGTCGTTTCGCTCCCATCTCAGGGGCTGTCGCTGTTCTCTGGATCGCGGGAGGTGGAGGAGGAGCATGACTGCTGGTCTTAGCAGTGGAGACCCCTCTCTGTCCAATGATGGTGTTTCTGGTGCCTGTCCCACCACCGGCTTTCATTCTCTGCGTGTACGCCTCTTTACGGTCGGTGGAGTTTGGCGCGTGGGCCCTCCACATTCCCCGCTTGTCTACTTTCTCCGTCACATTCTCTTCGTGGGGTTTCCCCTGCTCGTTTGTCTCTGGTACATTTCCCTGTGACAGGGACACCTCTCTCTCTTCCTCTCTCTCCTCCTCCTCCTCTTCCTCGTCCTCCCCCCTGCCAGCTAGAGGTTTCCCCGATTTGGGATCGGAGATGCTCCGTGAGCGTCTGAAAGGTGGGATCAACCCCAGTTTGACTTTTGCGTTCTCGACATTTGACAAGGCTCTTTTGCGAAGCTCCCCCTCCCCACTCTCAACCTTGCTGCTCCCCTCCGCCGATTTCGGACGAATTACCAAAGCCGGTTCCTCTTCCGTCAGTTCCAACGCTGCTGTCAGCACAGGTTGCTGGGAAGAGGGTAGAGATTGTGTCAGTGCCGCTTTTGCTGATGCTCCAGCAGCCACAGTGGCACCAGGTTTCTCTTCTTCTTTTAGAGCTGGGATGATGGAGACCTCGGCAGCAGCTGCCGAGGGGTGACTGATTTTTCTACCGGGGGTTCCGAGCATGGCTTGCCCCACACTTCCCTGGGGTCTCACAACGTTCTCCCGAGGTCCTTGGTACCGTAAAGTTGCTGAGAGACCCCTGAGATTAGTAGTCCACTCAACAAGTCTGTCCCTCCGGGTGAGCGTCCGACTAGGGGAAGACTCCGTGTCAGAGTTATTGTTGTCCACGCTGAGTCGGTGAGGATCTGCCTCGGTGCCAGAGTCTCGCCTTCTGCCGGTGACGGCCGCACTGGAGCGTGCACGACGGTAGATCCCTGTCGCTGGCTGGACCACAGGGGGCGGGGCAGCAGGTTGTACCGGAGGAGGAGACTGGACAAAGTCCGGTGCGATCGGGCGACGCGGGAGACTGTGGAGGTGGCGTTCGCTTTCCGGGCGATCGTCGTCGAAACTCTGTGGAGACGACAGAGCCTCGATGTCACTGTGAGGGGTGGTTGAGGATGCGGTGGACACTGAGTGGAGTGCTTCTGGTCTTCTCCTCTCCTGAAACTTTCTCTGGATGTTCTCCATCTCCTGGTTGAAACTGTCCGAGCGACTCGCCGATGTGTGCACCGAATTAAAGGAGCTTTCCCGTGATGGAGGGATGTGGAAACGGCGCGTGATCTCGTACTTTACCATTTCTCGACTGAGTGGCGTTCGCTCCGGTTCCGGCGATTCTTTGTTGAGGGTGCTGGCGCTGGCGTAAGAGCTCTCAGAGACACTAGATACCAGGGACATGTTACTGGGTCGGCTTTGCGGGAGTTTTGGGTTGCTTGCTGATGAGTAGTAGTGCCCGCCGGAGCTACCAGAGGATCGACTGGCAATGGACTGATTGCTGGCGTGGACAGTTGGTAGCTCTGAGGATGAGAGGATTTGGAGTCCAGTGTCCCACCGCGTGTCTTCTTCCTCTTCGTCCATCGGCGTCTCGAAACTGTCGTCGCGATGCTGCGAACCGAGGAGGTTGAGTTTGCGAGGCTGTCTTCGCTGTTGGCCGAGCCCGGGCTCTCCGGAGCTCAGCGGTGGGAGATGGTCGTAGTAGGACACAGAGTGAGGGTCACTCATTGCTGGGACTTGGAGTATGTGATCAACGGAGTAATGCCGGTAAGAAGACGCACCACCGTGCTTCATTTTCTGCCCGGGCCTTCGCCTCACTGCTTCCTCAACGATATCGTCGTCTTCGTACTCCTCATTCTCGTCAAAGCTCTGCATCTGCCGGGATTTGAAAAACGAGGCCGCAGCCATTTCTTGAGTGCACGGTGTGGAGGAGAGAGCCCCGCTGGGTGTTTGGAGAATGGACGGAGCTCCGGGTGCACCGGAGGGGGAAGATGAGGGGTAACGAAGCTGCTCCCCTCGTGAGAGGGTCGTTTGCGTTGCGATTGACTTGCGCCGTGAGGCGTCGTCCAGTTTCGCGTGGTAATTCTGAACATAGAGTGGTCTCTCGTTTGGCCCGCGATAAGAACTCGACCTCTCGGCCGGTCGCGATTTCTTGGGCCTCTTGGGCAAGTTGGGGAACCTCTCGTGGTGGTGACGCTCTCCAGAGAGTAACACCAGGACTTTGGAGGAAGACCCCGCGTACTCCTCCTCCTCCTCCAGCTGCTGAGAGAGAACCGAGACTTGCGAGTCGCTCACCGTCAGCCCTACACTCTGCATCTGAACGAGGTTCGACGGGAGGTCGTCCTCACCCGCAGAATCCTCGCTGGTGGACGTGTCAAACGACTGGTTTCTTCGGTGTCCGAACGATCGGAGATTTCCGTCAGTTTTCTTTGTCGGGACTCGGTAGCTGCGCGGTGACGGGCTGCTCAGCACCGTCTGCATGCCGTACAGATCCGGGAGCTCGGTGCCGAAAATCCTCGGGGAGTTCTGAATCATGAACTGGATGAGCGGGGGCACCTCGTTCTTGATGACGTCGAGCCCCGAATCGGGCCAGAGGAGGGTTGGCGCGAAGCAGATGGCGAGGTTTATGGCGTTCATTCCGTTTGTCTCATCTTCCTCGGTGATGCGATGGAGGAGGGGGAGGAGGTAGTGGAGGAACCGGAGGTTCTCGGGTGGTAGCTTCTGCAGGATCCTGAAACGAGGGGGAAATACAGGGTTAGGGGTGATAGGAAGCACTGCATACTGTGGTATACAATACACTACAAAGTGTAATATTACGCTGATGTGGAACGGTTTTGGACATGCTGCATTTTGCGTCATCACATAAAGAGTAAAGTTCAAAGTGTGTAGCGTCACTTGATATTTCCTGGCCAGTATATACAGTCTCCTGAATCACACCACAGGCTCACAGAGATTCATTGGTGTAACTACTAAACCAGATACATGCAGGAAGGAAACTGAGCTGTCCAGGACATCGGCGAATCCAGCTAGCCTTGCAATAACGTTGCACAAAAACGCCCCCATATACGGTAGAAATGAGAGAAGTACATATTATATTTCAACAGTTGAGGAAAGGCTCTTTCCAACATTACAGTAACCTAACACGCACACATACTGACACAAGCCTGCTTGAATTACCACATGGTTTTTTCTACATATGGCATATACAATTCTTGGTGAGAATAAATCGGACTAGATAGACTGCACAATTTTATAAAGTTCGCCAACATTACTTTGGTGTAGGTATCGCAATTGGCAAAACTTTTATACCTCTGTATGTGTTGTACTCTGGTGTCCACATCCTTGAAGTCGTTTGTGGCCACAAACTCGGTGTAGCGGCTGGAGAGGAGGATTCCTCCGGGGACGTTACGGAGGAGGTCCTTCAGTAGAGCTGCCACCGTGTGGATGGAGGTCTCCTCCGACGAGAGATCCACTCTCTGTCCTGAGTTGGGGAGGGAGGGGAGTAAGGGAGAGGAAGCTGTGTCATTACAATGGAGTTAGGTGAAACGTAGTTCGCAGTTTGACAGCAGCAATTTGTAAATTAACTAGGCTTTTAGTGGCCGCGAACAATTACATGCAATGACTGCTTGGCATAAACTTCACAAACTCTCGTACTGGGCAACTCTATTAGTGCGATTTTGGGGCAAATCACCACTCCCAAATCAGCAGCCTTGCTGATGGCTATCGGTAAAGAGCTGTAGTGTTATTGAGAGACCACTCACTGTTGTTGATGGCCTCCTTCATTTCCTTGACTTTGCGAGTGTTGGCAGTTATTCTGAATATGCCGCGAGTCTCTGGCCCTTCATTGTAGAGTCTTACCAGCATCTCCTGCAGGGATTTAGGGAGAGAGGGAGGGAGGGAGGGAGGGAGGGAGGGGCAAGGAATGAAGGAAGGAAGAGGAAGAAGACAGGAAGGAAGGAGAGGGAGGTGAAGATTGTGATGGGAAGTACAGCCATCATGTAAAGATTCTATTTAGCCTGGCACGAACTCTAGAAATGTTAATCAATTAGCGTGTGTACAGAGCCACTCCATATCGTGTACACACGAACATCTCAAAACACACTGTGTGAGCCGAGCCTACTACAGTTTTCCTAAGATACTCCTTGTGTTGAGTTGTGTATTGACCTGGCACTGGTAAAGGAAGTGCCAGTGACAACAGGGGTGGTATATATGGGAGTTCCTACCCCCGAGAGCATAGGAGAATGACACAATGGACATAGTCTAACACTGAAAACCTTACTATAATATAGGTAGGTATTAGAGTCATTTGACAATGTATTAGCATGATGCAGTGACAGTGGAACTTGAATTAGGTGGGTGGCTACAAATGATGTAGGAAACTGAGTAGGTGTTGTTACCATTCTATGGATGACTGGAATGAAACAGTTACGTCACTTGTACTTTAAGTACAGGTGGCGAGCTTGAGGAAATTAACTCTATAGGTGGCATCATAATTATACAGGAAATATGGACGAAAAATATTGTCATTGAGTACGGATGATGGGCTACGTGGAATGGACTCATTAGCTAAGACAAGCCTAACATGACAGATGACAGATGACTTACTACGTCATTGGAAGTTGAATGAGTAGTCGGTGGTTTTGTGGAATGAAGGGAATTAAACTAAGAATTGACGTGACACAATCACAGATGAATGCAAACTACTACAAGATCAATGAAACTTTACACTTTGGAAATTAAGGAACTAGTACCTACATATTATGGTGTGGCCGCTATATAAGAGCTGATGTGATACAACGATATATAGCTGAATCGAAACTAGTAAAGTTTGGATAGATGCAACTATATACAAGTACATACGTAGCTGGGTGAGGAATTGAAGGAAATTTACTGTGTTTGGTGTGGCAACTGCGTTAAGCACAGGGCATGGAATGATGATTGTGGAAGTGACATAGACTTTCCAGGAATAGTCGGCCCCTCCTCGTCCAAAACATCATTACTTTGAGCTCACAACTCTCTCGTTGACTTAGCTAAAACCTTATACGGATTGATCGAGTTGTGCAACTTGTTCGACTATGGTTCATATGTTGGGTGGGAGATGATCCGTTTGTAGGTACAAAACGTGTATGCAATTTAGCATCCTGCCCAAAAGGCTCGATTAGTTTGCTGCATGTTGCATGCTGCTGCAAACTACTTGCAGACGTCTTGGGCCGTGTAACTTTGTTTCGCGTGACAACCCTCAAATATACATGGTAATATGCTGGTACGTCCAGGCAACAAAGATGTACAATAGTTCTCTATGTTACCCATACGAAGTTAAACTTAGGTGGGCTTTGCCACTATAGATCAATCAGATAAGGTATGTATTCGCCCTGTGTTGGCCAAACTGAATCAAAACAGTTACAGAGAGAGAGAGAGAGGGAGAGAAGGAGAAAGCCGAGTTAAACTTAGGTGGGCTTTGCCACTATAGATCAATCAAGAGATTGAGATAAGGTATGTATTCGCCCTGTGTTGGCCAAACTGAATCAAAAGAGTTACACAGAGAGAGAGAGAGAGAGAGAGAAAGAGAGGGAGGAGGGAGAGAAGGAGAAAGCCTTTGTTGCGAGATGTGTATTCCCCTGACCCCAAAACAGAGAAGCTATTGAGGTGCTGTGGCAAAACAGTGCCCTCCCCACCATCCTGACTTTCCAACAGCACACAACACTGCACACAACTGGTGAGAAATGTATACAGATGGAGAGGAGAGGCCTTGTAAGAGAGGCCAGGCAGTGCTCACACTCCAAGGGATTCCTTCATTCCTGCCGACTGCCACTGACACCAGAGCCAGCGGAATAACAACAACAACAACTGCCTTCCCCTTCTCACTACTACCTCTCTAGCCTCTACACCAAGACTTAACGCCAACCTATACACCATAGCAGCTTTGGTCTTGCAATGTATGGATATCTATTGTGTCAGCTAGTATTCACTTCTTATAAGCATACACCCTTACTAAATACATGGCTACTCTCTCCTTATAAACTATACAGTCTACAAGGTTCTTTGCCGGTTGTCCAAAGACACACTAATTCCCAGAAGCTCACTACAAGTTTATACTGTGGAAGGAAAAGGATGGTTGGGATCTGGTTACCACCTTTCCCTAACAAGATTACTGGGGGAAGTTAGTTCAACTATACCCTACCCTTTCAGTCCCTCTCTCCTAAATACAGTGAGTAGTCACAGTTTTTGGCTACCTCTCCCACTCTCTCTCCCGTTTCTAACGATATGGTGGTTTTGTTCTTGCCACAAGCTTCCCCAATAGTCCAGGCTAGCAGCTCTGGGTGGTCCTTTAGTTTTCCAAAGCTCCAGCGTTCACCGACAACAACATACACACAGCTGGCCTACCGGGGAATTGTTTCAGTTCTCAACAACGTCATACGTAGCTGGCCCACTGGTAAAGGTTGCGTAGAGCTAATGGTGAGACATTGAAAGCTGGCAGACTCTCAAACTATTCAGTTTCAATGTCACACAGTATACAATGTCACATGGAGGTAACTTGTACATTGGCAAGTATGTAATGAAGGGACTTGAAACGTTTGGGATCTTGTGCCAACTGCGTTCTCATACTTCCCTTACCAGGTATATTACGCAATATTATACAGCTTTAGAAGAGTTGCTATATAGCACTATCTACACAGCCTAACTAAGACACATACACATGGGAACTACAGTTTAGTGTGCCATCAACCTTATAAACTATTCCTATAGTACGTACCTCATAAAGTACATATTATACTGAACTGCCTCTACAGTGGCACTACAAACTGGCAGTTTGCATGTGCATGCACTACCACTAGTGCAGTATTTATCGTCCCACATACTTCTATGTACACACAAGATACGCCTACACATATTATCACACACTTTTTAGCAGTACACATGACAGACAGGGTTTAATAGTACAAAGTGCACGTCCTAGTACTGACGGCAAACACGTCAGTAAAGCAACGCACGCCACTCACGGTGCATCAGAAAAACTAAGAATACTTATGAAATGCTTCTACAATTGACAAGGTAACTGGTCATATTGCTGAAAAACCTGTGTATTATATCTCTTATACTAACAACTACTTTACTTATTGACAGTATAATATGAAGTACGTACGTGAAGAATGTCTGGCAGTTGTCCGTTGCCCATGATATGTGACAGAGGAGCTCCGAAGAGTCTGAATTTCCTCTTCTTCACGGGCCCGTCTCTCGATCTCTTGCCGCGGTACCAGTCCTTGATCTTGGACGATCTCTTCTTCGCTTTCCCGTTCTCCCGGTTATAGGCCTTTGTCTCAACTGCACCAACAACCACATGAGGGAGATAGAGAGAAGGAGAAAGTAAATGGGGCTTACTTTGCACCGTTGTATCCTCTGCCCCCAATCCTGCCCTCTCATTATCTCCCCCCCTTCCCCTCTCCTTCTCTTGTGTCCCTCCCTCCCTCCCTCCCTTCTCTCTCTCTTTCTCTTGTCTACCCCCTCCCTTCTCTCTCTCTCTCTCTTTCCCCACACTTACCAGGTGGAGGAGGGTTCTTCCTCTTGATATAGAACTCCATACCTCCAGGTGGCTTACTCTCCCCCACTGCATACCCTCCTCCCTCCGCCTGTCTGTTCTGGTGGGCCTGGATCGCGTACGGGTGCTCGTGCCCTGTAATCGAGATGGTAGACATCACGAGTGACGCAAAGTTGCTCAGCATGGTATGGCTGGAGCGTCGGTGGCCCATCCCACTTGTTACGGGAGGGGCAAGCATATCTAAACTGCTGCTGCGCCTCATGTGGTCTCCTCCGCCCTCTTTCCTCCCGCCACCAAATCCCATCAACAACATCCAACAAAGTCTGTCTCAGTTGCCGCCACAACTCAGCAGTACATACAACAGTAGCAGTGCTCTCTAATGCATACACTGGTTTGCCAAAAGTTACACCACTGAAACACTAAAATGACACTATTTCAGCTAGTAGTAAGAGTGCTAGGCAAAACTGACTGCTAGGCAAAACTGACTGCTGGAGCTACGGAGCGGGCACTATATAATGCCAGAAATGCGGCAGGAAGCTGCCAGGGTAAGCAGCTCCCTTTATGGCAGCAACCCTCAAGTGGCAACTAAAGCCAGCCTCACAACCCACGCCCACTACAGTAATGCCAGGTAGCTACTCTCAATGGACATTCCTGAAGCATTCTTCATACCGGCACTGGTTACCCTTTACCTGCTTCTATACCAGTACACTAGGAAGTGTGCAGACTTATTCCTATGTAATACAATACCCACCACATGTAAACCACATGTACAGAGGCATGCCAGTTACAAACGTCATAAGTAGTGGCAAGGGTGAGTCTGTATGCTATATATATATATATATATATATACACCACCACATACCTGAATCATATTATAGAGTATGTCATAAGGAGAGTGTAAGCATGGGCCTGAATCACATGCACAGGTTCACTGATGTGACGTCATAATAGCTAGCCACGCAGCAGCGCATGCGGCGTTCCACGTTCAGTGCCGTGAGGATAGAATCTACGCGGGAAGACGCGGTGTGGCACGGTGAGCTGCTGCAATGCAACACTTTGTTAGCCCAGCTTAGGTTGCAAAGGTGGGTCCTGTATGTAAACACGTAATACAACCCGCCGCATACCTGAATCACAATAGGTGTACTAATATAGGAGTTTATATACATACGTTGCAAGATGGGCCTCTATATACATTGTACACCAACCCTCACCATGCCTGATACATAGGTTAACTGATACAGAAGTCATAGAGAGAGGTTAGTACAGTTGCAGATTGCAAGGGTGGGCAGGAAGGTCACTGACCTAATGCCACAGGAAGGCAGGACAACCCAGGAAGACCGAGTGTGTTGTAAGAATCAAAGGAGAAAGGATGCAAACAAAAATGTATTGATTGCAAGGGAGACATGTGCACAAGCCAAATATGGTATGGTAATCTGCTTCCTCGCTCCCTCAATCCTGCCTTCTCCTTCCTCCAATTTCTTCTCTAAAAAAGACCCAAATTCTCTTCCTGTCTATTTATAGCCCCAGTGTGCTAAATATAGTACACAAACGTGTGATATAACCAATAGCTCACCAAGCAAGACAACGGCTGATTCGTCCTTGGAATACTTGACCAGCAACTGACAACTGCCCGGCACCATCTGTCAGAGAACACAGTAACAAGTAATTTGCAGAGGAAAACTGACAGCAATGAATCATAGTATAAAATTAGGAGAGACGAGATGCCCAACTTATTTTTAGTGTGTACTCTAATTGATGCACACTTGTTTTTACGGGTGCACAGGTTGCGCGGGGAATCGGAGTCACGGATTTTTCTAAGTAAAATTGATGCGAGTTACATACTAAGAGACTTATTATAAAACACGTTTTAATGTATGAGTGTGTACTAGAGGACGGAGATTAAAATATACATACAGGAGTGCCTCTCTTGTCCAGAGCTCTTGCCAGAACATCGTCCACTTTCTCAGTGCAGTGGACCATCATCTGATCTGACATTTGGTTCTATGAGACAGAGAGAGGGGGGGGAAGGAAAGCAGTGAAGTTTTAAATCCAAGTGCAAAGCTACACCACATGTATCAGTGAGTAACCAACATGTAGTTGCGCCTCGCTCCCCAGTGTGAAACAAGAACACTGGACACATGGATCTTTCCTTTACCACCAAAGTACTAAAGCCGTAAGTGTTATAATTTTTGAGCTGCACTATTGCTGTATGTGCAGACAGACACACAAATCCAGTATACACTGTAGAGCCTGGTGACAAACAATGCCAGCTACAGATAGACAAGGGCCGGGGATGTTGTCTTTAGTAACAAAAAAGGCTGTTATAATTTAGGTAGACTGAAGTGTAACCATGCAGACATAGGTTCCAGAGTTTGTTTATGGCAATATAACCAAGGAAAGAGGTGCAGCCTTTATTTCAGTTGTAAAGACGAGCTAAAGAATACTGCTAAAGTAGAAGGATGAAGAGTCTCCAGTTGGTTGTGGTGGCAGCATTTACATTCTCTCTCATGCAGACTGGAGCTTCCCAATGTGATGGTGAGAAATTCGTAAATAACGCAGCTTGATTACCAAGGTTCTATGTACATCACTAGTTGTGAGGTTAACTGCAGCAGTGTATGAGACTCTGAGTCCGTTCATGACTGAAATGAGGGAAGATCTGGCTTTTGTTAAGACTGAACTAAGAAAATTAGGTCTGGCTGCAGTTAAAGAAAACCTAACCAACCTGGATATGGTTAAGTCTCTACTGGTCTCAGTGAATACTAGTATGAGTGACGGTCTGTTAGGAGTGAAGAATACTCTTAAAGAACACAGCAGCCAGACAGCCTCAGAGCTAGCAGGACTGGAGACCAACCAGGAGACCATTGACTCCAAGTTAGACTCTCTGGACTCCAAACAAGATGGTCTCAGTATGACAGTGACGACTGCGCACTCTGAACTGGAGCGAAATGTACTGACCAATGTTACAAAGGAACTGAAGAAGACTGCTGACTATATACTTGGAACCATGCCCCTATATAAATGTGGAGGTACAGGAGGTTGGAGACGTGTGGTCTACCTGGACATGACAGACCCCAACACCAACTGTCCCTCTGGCTGGAATCTCACTAGTCACTCCAAGAGGACCTGTGGTAAAGTTAACACCAGCAGTCTCTCCTGTGACTCAGTCTTCTTCCATGTCAGTGGAGGAGACTACACTAGTGTGTGTGGCTCTATCAGAGCCTACCAGTATGGCCGGGTTGATGGATTTGAGGCCTATCACAATGGAGAAGTGACCACAATAGAAGCAGCCTATGTTTCTGGTGTCAGTCTCACACACGGAAGTCCACGACAACACATCTGGACATTTGCAGCAGCCCGTACCGAGACTCACACTAATGAAGAAGGATGTCCTTGCAATGGTGCTAGTGTCACCATCCCATCATTTATGGGTGGAGACTATTTCTGTGAATCAGGAACCTCAGAAGATTCTGTAGGCTTCCATCCAGATGATCCTCTCTGGGATGGTGAAGGCTGTGGTAGCAGCAGTAGCTGTTGCTCATTCAACAATCCTCCATACTTCACTAAGACACTCCCCAGCCCCACCTCTGACCCTATAGAGGCCAGACTGTGTCGATGGGAAGGTGATGAAGATTCTCCAGTTGAGTTCATGGAACTCTATATCAAGTAGTACACTCACATTAGATGGAGTTTATGAGTAGAGAACTTTAGCTTGGAGTAGACTTTTAACTACAGCAACTAGTGTTCACATTGCTGTCCAACAAAACAAGGAGGAATGATAGCAGACTATAGTCCATTTAGTTTTGAGAATGCATGTTGATTTTCTTTAATAACTTTATTACCCTTCACTCTATTGCGCAGTGTTCGGCAGCTTCATCCCCAGGCTCATAAGATAAGGAGCCAGATGCCACATTGTATGATGCCATGAGTACTGACTGACCTAAATATGTGTGAAACATGCGATAAATGCTTCACTCTCCAAAAATGCATTGCATTCCTCTAGTATAAGTATTGAACATGTAGCTACTAAGAAATCAAAAAGCAGGAAATGTTTTGGTTGGTGTGCTGTCAAGTAGTGTGCTCACATTAACACTGAGACACAAGCTATAACTACAGCCAGTAGATTGATTATACATAGCACAGTATGTCATCATATGCATTTCTATTACAAGCTTCATTATTAGTTAAAAACTTCTATTGAGTTAGCACATGGGGAAGGGACACAAAGAAGGGTTAGGACGAGGCACCAAGGTAATATCAAATACATAAGACATGGCATGCTATCCAAATAAGATCACCCAGTTGTTTGTTGATCACCTCACTTTTCAGTCACTATAGTTTAACCAGGGATAGGCAGCTAGTAGAGCGGGCACTATCATCCCTGGTTGAACGTGAAACCTTGAAAAGTACTCTACTTGGAGGGTATAGCAATGAGGAGTCTTTCAGTTGGTTGTGGTGACTGCATTTGCCTTCTCTCTCTTGGAGACTGGAGCTTCCCAATGTGATGGTGAGTAACATAGCTTGATTACCAAGGTTTTATGCGTATACATCACACAGTTTTGAGGGTAGTTGCTGCAGTGTATGAGACACTGAGTCCTCTCCTGACTGAAATGAAACAAGATTTGCTGAATGAAAGAAGGTCTCACTATTGTTAAGACTGAAATGAAGGATGGCCTGGCTGCTGTTAGAGAAAATATACCCAGCATCCAGCAAAAAGTCAATTCCCTTACTGAGACTATGAATGAGATGTGGAAGAGATAAAGCATCAAAAAAGAGAACCTGTGGTTATTTGGTAGTAGTAACGTAGTTCTGAGGGTAGTATCACTACTACACACAGGCATGCCATTAAGATAGATGACCAGGTCTACAGAATATCAGACCACCTTTTAGTTCAGGGTTGGTTTGGTACGTGTGCGGCAAGTGCAGCAAGTAGGAGAAAATGAGGAATCTCCAGTTGGTTGTGGTGGCAGTATTTGCCTTCTCTCTCATACAGACTGGAGCTTCCCAATGTGATGGTGAGAAATTCGTAAGTAAAATAGCTTCATTACCGTGGCTCTATGTACATCACTAGTTGTGAGGTTAACTGCAGCAGTGTATGAGACACTGAGTCCATTCATGACTGAAATGAGGGAAGGTCTGGCTGCTGTTAAAGAAAACCTAACCAACATTCAGCAACAAGTCAATTCTCTAACTGAGACTGTGAACAACCTCGAGCAAACCCTTCAGCAAAACAATGATGAACAGACGACAAGACTACATGGTGGTCTCAATATGACAGTGACGACTGCGCACTCTGAACTGGAGCGAAATGTACTGACCAATGTTACAAAGGAACTGAAGAAGACTGCTGACTATATACTTGAACTTGCACACACATATGAATGTGGAGGTACAGGAGGTTGGAGACGTGTAGTCTACCTGAACATGACAGACACCAACACCTACTGTCCCTCTGGCTGGCAGCTCACTAGTCAGTCCAAGAGGACCTGTGGTAAAGTCAGCACCAGTCAACTCTCCTGTGACTCAGTCTTCTTCCCTGTCAGTGGAGGAGACTACACTAGTGTGTGTGGCTCTATCAGAGCCTACCAGTATGGTCACACCGATGCATTTGAGGCATATCACGATGGACAAGTGACCACAATAGAAGGAGCCTATGTTTCTGGTGTCAGTCTCACACACGGCAATCCACGACAACACATCTGGACATTTGCTGCTGCTTCTTCTGAGATCCAACCTTTATGGGAAGATGCTTGTCCCTGTGATGCTAGTATTAATATTGCCATCCCACCATTTGTGGGTGGAGACTATTTCTGTGAATCAGGAGTCAACTCAGGTTCCATCATTGGATTTCATCCAGATGATCCTCTGTGGGATGGTTATGGTTGCATTAGCAGCAGTAGCTGTTGCTCATTCAACAGTCCTCCATACTTCACTAAGATACTCCCCAGCCCCACCTCTGACCCTATAGAGGCCAGACTGTGTCGATGGCAGACTGCTGATGATGATTCGCCAGTAGAGTTCATGGAACTCTATGTCAAGTAGTGCACTCACATTACATGGAGTTTATGAGTAGAGAACTTTAGATTGTGTTAGCTTGGAGTAGACTTTTAGTAGTGTTCACATTGCTGTCCAACAAAACAAGGAGGTTCTAGTAGAATGATAGCAGACTATAGTCCATTTACTTTTGAGAATGCACGTTGATTCTCTTTGATAACTTTATTACCCTTCACTCTATGCTCTATTGCGCAGTGCTTGGTACATAGCTTCGTCCCCAGGCCTCTTAAGAAAAAGAGCCAGATGCCACATTTTATCACACCATGAGCACTGACAGACGCCAGTCTAAAGTATGCATGAAACACACAAAATCAAACTGCTCCGTTCACTCACCATAAATGTGTTGTATTCTTCTAGTATAGTACTGAACATGTAGCTACTAATTGCATTGCATTCCTCTACTATAAGTAGTGAACATGTAGCTACTAATTGCATTGCATTCCTCTACTATAAAGTAGTGAACATGTAGCTACTAAGAAATCACAGGAAATGCTTTCGTTCATTTGCTGTAATAACTTAGCTAAACTGCAACCACTCCAAGTGCGGCTATGAAAATTGCCGTTAGTTAAGAATAAACATGACTAACAAAGACACGAAGTTGGGTCATCTATACAATAGATCAGTGAGGAGTCTCCAGCTGGTCGTGGTGGCAGCATGTGCCTTCTCTCTCTTGGAGACTGGAGCATCCCAATGTGATGGTGAGAAGAAAGAATCTGAGAGATGTTGTACATCTCTCTCAGTTGTGAGGCTGGCTGCAGCAGTACATGCAGTACTTACGATTACACGCTTCTTTTCAGTTCAAAAGTTTCCGTTGAGTTAGCACATGGGGAAGTGGCACAAAGAAGGGTTAGGACGAGGCACCAAGGTTATATCAAATACACCAGACATGGCATGTTATCCAGATAGGATCACCCAGTTGTTTGTTTAGAGTAGGTCTAAAGATCGCCCCACTTTTCAGTAAGGGGTTGAACCAAGGATAGGCAGCTAGTAGAGCGGGCACCATCATCCCTGGTTGAACGTGAAACTTTGACAGTACTCTACTGCAACAGTAGAGTAATGAAGGGTCTTCCTCTTGAAACAAACACAACCGTATGATAGTTTTAGTGCACAAATAGTTGCCCTCTGGTCACACAATACCAGGTGGTTTGAAGTCATAGCGTGCGACATGTGTTCACATGTGAATTATATAAATTTATTTAGTGATGATGATGGGGTTCATGGAAGTTTATGTAAAGTAGTGACACTGAGACAAAGAAGTAGAGCGTACGTATAGGAGAGCAACTAGCAAAACTTGGAACAAAAAGTGCAAGGGTGAAGTAATGCTTTTCGTCTGTTCTGTCTGTTTGTCTGTTGTCGGCAGAAAATGGACCAGTTGCCACATTGCATCGAAACAATGAGTACTGATTGGCAAGTGGAAGCAATCTAACCCACTGGTTTGATTGGCACGATTTTCAACGTTGGTGCAGCCATAAGTACCACTTATTGAACTGCCACATTGCGTGCAGTATAGCACACACTATACTGGAGAGCCTGGTTCACAACACATTGCAGGAGTCAGTGATGCGACACAATGCAGTATAGCACACACTATACTGGAGAGCCTGGTTCACAACACACTGCAGGAGTCAGTGATGCGACACAATGCAGTATAGCACACACTATACTGGAGAGCCTGGTTCACAACACATTGCAGGAGTCAGTGATGCGACACAATGCAGTATAGCACACACTATACTGGAGAGCCTGGTTCACAACACACTGCAGGAGTCAGTGATGCGACACAATGCAGTATAGCACACACTATACTGGAGAGCCTGGTTCACAACACACTGCAGGAGTCAGTGATGCGACACAATGCAGTCATACATAGGATATGCTGCGATGCACCTCTGTGATGGCACGGGGAGTATAGTACCTCTGCAGTGACGGTGAAGAATGCTCCATTTTAGCTCTATAGCCAAACTGTGATCCAGGCTTAACCTACACGTGCATGGATGCAACTACCAATAGACCGAGGCAGGAGATATTGTCTTTAGCAACAAAAACAAGTTACCTAGACAGAAGCGTAACCATGCTGACAAGTTTGTTTACTGAAGGAAAAAGGTGGAGTGTGTATACAGTTCATGCTTACTTTCATAGCTAAAGAAAACAGATACAGCATTTGATCCTCTGTGATGTCTATTGTAATTCAAGAGTGACAGCGGAGAATGTCTCATTTTATCAAAAAAAATTGCGGGCTCTAGACCAAAACTGTGATCTAGGCTTAATCTACACATACATGGGTGAATAGCGACAAATAGTTCAACTACCAATAGACCGATGCAGGAGATATTATCTTTAGCAACAAAAACCAGTTACCTAGACTGAAGTGTACCCATACTTCACATAGCTAGAAAAACCAATCTGGCTTTCAAGGTTTATTTTAAGGTGTATATAACACACTATGAAGAAAGAGTGGAGTGTGGTAGTTCATGCTTTATTTCATTGTAAGGACTAGCTGAAGAAAATGGCTACAGTAAAGGAATGAAGAATCTCCAGTTGGTTTTGGTGGCAGTATTTGCCTTCTCTCTTATACAGACTGGAGCTTCCCAATGTGATGTGAGAAGTATAAATATGACTGTAGACCTCCCAATAGGTCTTTAGCTGTGTGTCCTAGTTCCACTCGGCGTGACGATGCGCAGCAAGGGGTACGGTAGTTGGGTACCATGTGTGTGTGTGTGTGCTACTCTACATCTCACTTCACGGGTGTTCGTTCGTCTCATAAAGGATACGACCTACTTAACGGGCAATGAAGGCCAGAAATTTCGAACTGTTTTCACTGAAACTGCTCCGTTGCAAAGCTAGAGCGCGAAAAAGCCAATATGCAAATACACAACGGAGATCGATCCGCGTGCTCTGCGTACCTCGGAGGCATCAGAAGATGCAACGCAGGGCGTGTATCGCCTCTCGCATGCTATCTAGTAGTATAGTTAGCCCGCGTCAAACTCTGCGCGAGCTGGCAAGAGACCAAGAGTAACAGCTAAACTAAACCCAGCCCATCAATTAGTGGTACGGCGCATTGCGTTACTTACGCGTGCACATCACATGCGCCGAGGGTTTGCACTTCAGTGCTTCTCATTAGTGAGGTCAATGTCTTGAAGCTCTCTACAAATGTGTCAAATTAGTGATTGCTGTACATCTCCCTCAGTTGTGAGGCTAGCTGCAGCAGTTCATGAGACACTGAGTCCATTATTGAGTGATATGAGGGAGAGTCTTGCTGCTGTTAAGACTGAAATGAGGGAGAGTGTCGCTGCTGTTAAGACTGAAATGAAGGAAGATCTTAGCAGAATTGAAAGTAAAGTAGATTCTCTGAGTGGAGATATTGAAGAACACAAGAACAAGACTGCTACAGAACTCAGTATGACAGTGACGACAGCGCACTCTGAACTGGAGCGAAATGTACTGACCAATGTTACAAAGGAACTGAAGAAGACTGCTGACTATATACTTGAACTTGCACACACATATGAATGTGGAGTTACAGGAGGTTGGAGACGTGTGGTCTACCTGAACATGACAGACCCCAACACCAACTGCCCTTCTGGCTGGCAGCTCACTAGTTACTCCAAGAGATCATGTGGTAAAGTTAACACTAGTTGGCTTTCCTGTGACTCAGTCTTGTTCCATGACAGTGGAGGAGACTACACTAGTGTGTGTGGCTCTATCAGAGCCTACCAGTACGGCTGGGTTGATGCATTTGAGACCTATCATGAGGGACAAGTGACCACAATAGAAGAAGCCTATGTTTCTGGTGTCAGTCTCACACATGGCAGTCCACGACAACACATCTGGACATTTGCTGCTGGTGCTACTGAGGCCCAACCTACTTGGATTGATGCCTGTCCTTGTGATGCTAGCATCAACATTACCATCCCACCATTTGTGGGTGGAGACTATTTCTGTGAATCAGGAGTCAACTCAAGTTCCACCGGTGGATTCCATCCAGATGATCCTCTCTGGGATGGTGAAGGCTGTGGTAGGAGCAGTAGCTGTTGCTCATTCAACAATCCTCCATACTTCACTAAGACACTCCCCAGCCCCACCTCTGACCCTATAGAGGTCAGACTGTGTCAATTGGATGGTGGTTTCGATGATTCTCCAGTTGAATTTATGGAACTCTATGTCAAGTAGAGGCACTGACACTATGGAGTGAACGACTCTGTGTAGTTGTGTAGTTATTGTAGCACTCAATTGGTATATATTGTTTAGAGGTACGTATGTATGTAACTGTTCGGTAACTATCATCGGTACTGGAGCAGGATCGCGAGCTAGTATTTCAATTGCTGAACTGCAGATGAAACTGATAAGACGTGTTGCCTCGGTTACTATGTGTAGGAAACTGGAGCCCTTAGTAATGCCCTCACTGCAATGGACACAGACACCTCAGGGAGCTCGGTTTACTAAGAGGCTCGGCTCCACTTCTAGCCCATGCTTGCTTGGCAAGTGGAGTGAGCTGATCAAGTGGACAAATGACTGACAAGCCAGAGTCAGTTAATTTTGAAGTCCAATGATATTATTTGCCATATTTATCCCCAACATTGTTTTGAAGAATTTTTTTCAGGGGGGCAAATTGGTTCTTTGAGAAATAAAGGAGGGTACAAGTTAACCCAGACGGCACTGCTCTCGCTTAATTATCGATTCGAGTCACAGTTCAGGGGGCAATCCACATGCTAGCTAGGTTTGAGCAATGCAAGAGACTGACATCTAGTTGCACCTCCACAGTGTGCCAAACAAGGAAACTGGACACACCTTTACCACCGCAGTACTAAAGCCATAAGTATTGAAATTTTTGAGCTGCACTATTGCTGTATGTGCAGACAGACACACAAACCCAGTATACACTGTAGAGCCTGGTGACAAACAATGCCAACTACAGATAGACAAGGGCAGGGGATGTTGTCTTTAGTATATAGGTAGACTGAAGTGTAACCATGTTCTAGGGTTTGTTTATGGCAGTATAACCAAAGAAAGAGGTGCAGTCCTATTTCAGTTGTAAAGACGAGCTAAAGAATACCACCGCTAAAGTGGAAGGATGAAGAGTCTCCAGTTGGTTGTGGTGGCAGCATTTACATTCTCTCTCATGGAGACCGGAGCTTCCCAATGTGATGGTGAGAAATTCGTAAGTGAAATAGCTTCATTACCAAGGTTCTATGTATATCACTAGTTGTGAGGTTAGCTGCAGCAGTACATGAGACACTGAGTCCATTCATGACTGAAATGAGGGAAGGCCTGGCTGCTGTTAAGACTGAAATGAAGGAAGATCTTAGCAGAATTGAAGGTAAAGTAGATTCTCTGAGTGGAGATATTGAAGAACACAAGAACAAGACTGCTACTGAACTCAGTATGACAGTGACGACTGTGCACTCTGAACTGGAGCGAAATGTACTGACCAATGTTACAAAGGAACTGAAGAAGACTGCTGACTATATACTTGAAGAAGTACCTACTTCATTTGTATGTGGAGGTACAAGAGCCTGGAGACGTGTTGTCTACCTGACATGACAGACCCCAACACCAACTGTCCCTCTGGCTGGCAGCTCACTAGTTACTCCAAGAGGACCTGTGGTAAAGTTAACACCAGCGATCTCTCCTGTGACTCAGTCTTGTTCCCTGTCAGTGGAGGAGACTACACTAGTGTGTGTGGCTCTATCAGAGCCTACCAGTATGGTCAAAGTGATGCATTTGAGGCCTATCACGATGGACATGTGACCACAATAGAAGGAGCCTATGTTTCTGGTGTCAGTCTCACACATGGCAGTCCACGACAACACATCTGGACATTTGCAGCTGGTGCTATCTGAGACAGATATCGAGACTGACGATGTTGTCCTTGTCGATGCTACAGTGTATACCATCCCACAATTTGTGGTTGGAGAGTATTTCTGTGAATCAGGAGTCAACTCAGGACCAGTTAGTGGTCTTCATCCAGATGATCCTCTCTGGGATGGTGAAGGCTGTGGTAGCAGCAGTAGCTGTTGCTCATTCAACAATCCTCCATACTTCACTAAGACACTCCCCAGTCCCACCTCTGACCCTATAGAGGCCAGACTGTGTCACTACAGTACTCCTGATGATTCTCCAGTTGAGTTAATGGAACTCTATGTGAAGTAGAAACACTGAGACTATGAAGTGAAGGACTATGTGTAGTTGTGTAGTTATTGTACTCAGTGGTATATCAGTTTAGAGTTATGCAACTGTTTCATATACATCCTCAGTGGCGGTAACTATGATTGGCACTGGAGCAGGATTGGGAGCTAGTATTTAAATTGCTGCACTGTAGATGAAGCTGATAAGACATGTTGCCTTGGTTAGGCAATCAGAGCCCTAAGTATAGTGCCATGGATGCAGACAACTCGAGGGCACTCTGAATACTAAGATGTGCAGTTAAGGCGGCTCCACTTCTAGCCCATACTTGCTTGGCAAGTGGAGTGAGCTAATAAAGTTGTCTCAACAGAATGACTGACAAGCCAGAGCGAGTAAATTTTGAAGTCCGACATTTAATCCCCTTTGTCAGGGGGGCAAATTGGTTCTTTAGGGTACAAGATGACACTGCTCTCACTTTATTATCAATTCGAGTCACAGTTCAGGGGGGCATCCATTTTAAGAGGGGCAAACCTCCCCTTCCCCCTGAAAATGTATCCAATGACCGGAAAGGCACTGTCTCATATACCGTAATGTTTTACGTAACTCTAAAGTACAGCCAGTGATAAAAAAATATGCTATATATGTTAAATGTAGTGGCAGAATGCTGTGCAGACGCATATAAACGGCTCTGAATGAAAAGTGAGAGAATATCCAGCTACTAAAAGACCACAGCAGTGGAGTACAAACAATAGCGAGCTTTCATCGACTTCACATTACACTCAAGAAATCTCCACAACTCCAGCCATAGGCCACTGAATTCAGAAATCATTGACAAACAATGCATAAACATGGTCTCTGCTGATATTAGAGCACAAGCAATGTGGCATAGCTGTGAAAGCTGTCAGAGTTTGTTCATGGCAGAAACAAAGTCAAAAGTACATCGTAGGTATGTATGTATAAAAGAAAGAGGCACATGTCACAAGGAAATTCATTAATTAAGTGAAAAGAAACAACGAAAAAGCCAAATTGAGAAGTAAGAACAAAAACTGAGAAGTGAGGAGCAAACTGTCAACATGCAATGTGCAGCTACAAACTAATCTTCCTAAAACCACTATGTTTATAACCTCAAGCCCAACAAATAAGCAAGCAAAGCGAGTCTACCTAGACATCTGGTTCTAAGAGGGAGGAAAGAAGTGAAGTCTTTAATCCAAGCACAAAGCTACACCACATGCTAGGTTTATCAGTACACATTTGGAGGAATTCAAGGCTCAACGTCTAGTTGCACCTCCACAGTGTGCCCAACAAGAAAACTGGACATATTATGGGTCTTTCCTTTACCACAGCAGTACTAAAGCCACACGTATATCCTTGGAGCTGCAACATTGCAGACTCTGGTGGTGCATGGGGAACAAGGTGTAGCTAGTAGCTAATAGCTGAGAAACACATTGCCCACTCATTGGGCTCATGGTTATAGCGATAACAGAGCTTTCATAAATATCATTTGAAGCACAATACCTAAGCTACACCTTCACTGCATAGCTACCATCAACTACTGAAAGGTCATCCTCACATCCTGAATGACCTAACACAGTGCTGTCATCATTGTTGTCTTCCAGATTCTCTCAATCAACATTTTACAGGTATAATAGCAACAGACCACACACCAAGAGATATATGGACAGGGCCAACAGTACACGTATATACGGGGATGTGGTGTCTATTTGGGGGAAAGGGTCAATAAGATCAAAGACTGGAATGATGAGTGAAGCTGAATGTAATAGGTCATTAAAAGTTAAACTTTCTCTTTTGGTAGCTCAACTGGTAAACAACGCATCATCACATCGGTCAGTAGCTATCTGACAAGTTCAACCCACAGGAGGTGTTGTGATTGTGAGGTCTATCCCTAAATCTAAAACTGAGGAGACAAACAACTGAGGGTATTGCATTTCTCCTGAAGTGTTTTGCATTACGTATAATAGGATGATATCCGTTACGAAAATGGCAAAGATCTGTTTATAGTCACACGGTGAATAACACAATGAGATGGTTATGATGACAACTCCAATTTGGGAATAAAGCTGTGTTTCTGTAGCTCTGTATCCATTATGTGAGAGAGAATGAAGAGTCTCCAGGTAGTTTTGGTGGCAGGATATATCTTCTCTCTACTGCAGATTGGAACTTGTCAATGTGATGGTGAGAAATATTGCATGATGGAAATAATGCGAGACAGTAAAATGTTCTACATCTCTCAGTTGTGAGGATAGCTGCAGCAGTACATGAGACACTGAGTCCATTCATGACTGATATGAGGGAGAGTCTTGCTGCTGTTAAGACTGAAATGAGGGAGAGTCTTGCTGCTGTTAAGACTGAAATGAGGGAGAGTCTTGCTGCTGTTAAGACTGAAATGAAGGAAGATCTTAGCAGAATTGAAACTAAAGTAGATTCTCTGAGTGGAGATATTGAAGAACACAAGAACAAGACTGCTGAACTCAGTATGACAGTGACAACTGTGCACTCTGAACTGGAGCACAATGTACTGACCAATGTTACAAAGGAACTGAAGAAGACTGCTGACTATATTATACTTGGCACAGGAGGTTGGAGACGTGTTGTCTACCTGAACATGACAGACCCCAACACCAACTGCCCCTCTGGCTGGCGGCTCACTAGTCACTCCAAAATAACATGTGGTAGAGTTAGTACTAGTGATCTCTCCTGTGACTCAGTCTTCTTCCCTGTCAGTGGAGGAGACTACACTAGTGTGTGTGGCTCTATCAGAGCCTACCAGGTTGGTGTAACAGATGCATTTGAGGCCTACCATCTTGGAGCGGTAACCACAATAGAAGGACCCTACGTTTCTGGTGTCAGTCTCACACATGGCAGTCCACGACAACACATCTGGACATTTGCTGCTGGTTTGTCTGAGGCCTACCCTACTCGGAATGATGCATGTCCTTGTGATGCTAGCATCAACATTACCATCCCACCATTTGTGGGTGCAGACTATTTCTGTGAATCAGGAGTCAACTCAGGTTTCATCAGTGGCTTCCATCCAGATGATCCTCTCTGGGATGGTGAAGGCTGTGGTAGCAGCAGTAGCTGTTGCTCATTCAACAGTCCTCCATACTTCACTAAGACACTCCCCAGCCCCACCTCTGACCCTATAGAGGTCAGACTGTGTCGATACAGTGGTCTTAGTGATGATACTCCAGTTGAGTTCATGGAACTCTATGTCAAGTAGTACACTCAACATCACGCTGAGTTTATGAGTAGAGAACTCTAATTGTGTTAACTTGGAGTAGACTTTTAGTAGTGTTCACATTGCTGTCCAACAAAACAAGGAGGTTCTAGTAGAATGCTAGCAGACTATAGTCCATTTACTTTTGAGAATGCATGTTGATTTTCTTTAATAACTTTATTTCCCTTCACTCTATGCTCTACTGCGCAGTGCTTGGTCATAGCTTCGTCCTCAGGCCTCTTAAGAAAAAGAGCCAGATGCCACATTTTATCACACCATGAGCACAGTCTAAAGTATGCATGAAACACACAAAAATCAAAATGCTCCGTTTACTCACCATAAATGTGTTATATTCTTTTAGTACATGTAGCTACTAATTGCATTGCATTCCTCTACTATAAAGTAGTGAACATGTAGCTACTAAGAAATCACAGGAAATGCTTTCGTTCATTTGCTGTAATAACTTAGCTAAACTGTAACCACTCCAAGTGCAGCTATGAAAATTGCCGTTGGTTAAGAATAAACACGACGACACGAAGTTGGGTCATCTAAACAGTAGACTAGTGAGGAGTCTTCAGTTGGTTGTGGTGGCAGCATGTGCCTTCTCTCCCTTGCAGACTGGAGCTTCCCAATGTGATGGTGAGAAGAAAGCATCTGAGAGATGTTGTACATCTCTCTCAGTTGTGAGGCTAGCTGCAGCAATACCTACGATTACACGCTTCTTTTTCAGTTCAAAAGCTTCCATTGACATGGGGAAGTCGCGCAAAGAAGGGTTAGGATGAGGCACCAAGGTAATATCAAATACACCAGACATGGCATGTTATCCAGATAGGATCACCCAGTTGTTTGTTTAGAGTAGGTCTAAAGATCGCCCCACTTTTCAGTAAGGGGTTGAACCAGGGATAGGCAGCTAGTACAGAGGGGACCATCGTCCCTGGTTGACATTGACAAGTACTCAATACTTGGAGGGTAGAAGGATGAAGAGTCTCCAATTGGTTGTGGTGGCAGCATTTGCCTTCTCTCTCTTGGAGACTGGAGCTCCCCAATGTGATGGTGAGAAATTCGTAAGTAAAATAGCTTGATTACCGAGATTCTATCCAAGTTAGACTCTCTGGGCACCAAACAAGATGGTCTCAGTATGACAGTGATGACTGCACACTCTGAACTGGAGCGAAATGTACTGACCAATGTTACAAAGGAACTGAAGAAGACTGCTGACTATATACTTGGACGGGTGCATGAGTGTGGAGGTACACGGAGGGGTGCGAGGCGTGTGTTTACCTGAACATGAAAGACCCCAACACAACTGTCCCTATGGCTGGGAATCTTACTAGTCACTCCAAGAGGTACCTGTGGTAAAGCTGACACAGTCGACGCTCTGTGACTCAGCCTTCTTCCCTGTCAGTGGAGGAAACTACACTAGTGTGTGTGGCTCTATCAGAGCCTACCAGGTTCATCACACCGATGCATTTGAGGCCTACCATCGTGGATATGTGACCACAATCAATGGAGCCTATGTTTCTGGTGTCAGTCTCACACATGGCAGTCCACGACAACACATCTGGACATTTGCTGCTGCTGCTTCTGAGACCTCAGCTAACATTGAAGGATTGTGTCCTGTACAGGTCCAGTTATACGGTTTCTTTGTTTTTCCTTTTCTCTTCCTCACCATTTGTGGGTGGAGACTATTTTATGTGGAATCATGGAGCCAACACAAAGAGGTTCACCAGTGGCATTATATCAAACTGATACCTCTCGATAGTGAAAGCTGTCGGTAGCCAGTAGTGTTGCTCATTCATACATGCCTCATACTTCACTGAGACACTCCCAGCCCCCACCTCTGACCCTATAGAGGCCAGACTGTGTCGATGAATAGGATGAGTGGAGATACTCCAGTTGAGTTCATGGAACTCTATGTGGAGTTGAGAGTAGTGTGTTCACATTAACACTGAGACTCACATGTGCACTTATTTAGTGATAATGATGGAGATTCATGGTAGTTTATGCCTAAAGTAGTGACCCTGAGACAAAGAAGTCGAGCGTACCTATAGGAGAGCAACTAGCAAAACTGGAACAAAAAGTGCGCAGGGGACGTAAAGTAAAGTAATGCTTTCTCGTCGTTCTCGCCTGCTTGTCTGTGTGTCGGACAGAAAATGGACCAGTTGCCACATGCATCGAAACAGGAGTACTGATGGCAAGTGGATAGCAAGTCTACCAGTGGTTTTATTGGCACGATTTCTCAACGTGGTGCAGCCATAAGTACCACTTATTGAACGGCCACATTGTATAGCACACACTTGCTGGAGAGCCGGGTTCAC